TTGATCTTTGGAACTCAAAAAATGGATGTATGGATTGAAAGTTATGGCCTCTCAAAGTTGGTACCAAAATTAGGGTTTCTTCCCACACTTAGAAAATTTTCAAGTTATCCAAGTTTTCTTCTTTTTCAAGAAACCCCTCAAATCTTGATTTCTTCATGATTAAACATATTTTGATTAGATTTTTATTGGAAGCTTCAATTTGAACCAAAAACCCTAAAAGTCAAAGAGTTGACTTTGTCAGATGAAATTTGTATCAGGTGAATTCAACTGTGTGATCTTCAATGAATTTGCATCTTGATACATCTCAAACATCCTAGATAGGCTTCAAAAATGTATATGAACATGTTGAATCATTCCCCAAGGCTTGGGATCATGGTTGGATCAAAAGTCAAAGGCACTGTTGAATCTTTCTGACAAAACCCTAATTTGGGCCCAGATGAAATTGGGTTTCAATTGACTTGTAATGAGATCAATTAGCACTTGATTCTTGTTTAATATGAGCTCCTTGAATATATGGGAGCTTGATTTGATGATGACTAATCCAAAACATTGACTGATCAAGTAATAATCCTCCTGGTTCCTAGGGTGCAAAACCCTAATTCAGATGAACCTCAACAACAAAAACTTGAAACAAGGTTAGTGTTAGGAAACAATGCTTGAAGCAACTGGAATGGTAATGGAATTTATGGGTCAAAATTTGGGGTATGACAGTTGACCCTATATAAATAGCTTTACCAGATGGTATGAGAGACGACAATTTCTATAAAATCATGGTGAAAGGTATTTAAATATGACAAACTAATTTTTTTTCCCTTAGATGCAATAATGTGCTAAGGACGACAAAACTATGCAAGTGCTGACATGCTATGAACTCAACAATGATGCTTCATGATGAGAAAATGCACAAATTCAGATGACCAAAGCAAACAAGAAGGAAAGCTGACACAATGAGTAACCACTCACTAGGGAAATGCAGCAACACTGGAGAAGCGGAAACAAATTAGGGGAATCTAAAGTGATCAGGCACAAGGTTCAAACATGACTAGTGTGACACTCTAGAGGAAATGACTATTCCTAATGGGGCATAAAACACTCTATCGGGGAAATCCAGAAGGACATAAGCTCTACTAGGGACCAGGCTAAAACTAAAAGACGACTTCTAACAAGAGGAAACGTCAGGACAAAACAAGACTCCACGGGGGACCGAACCAAAACGGAGAATTTCCTTACAGCGAAGAGCTTGAACGAGATCTTCAGGAAATGACTGGAGAAACAAACAGACCGATCGGGGACATTAGTGACAATCAAATATCTCAAAACACTGGGGATGTTGGTAACAACCAACCATCCTAAGATCACTGGGGATTTTGGTAACAACCAGCCATCCTAAGATTCACTGAGGATGTTGGTAACAAACAACCATCCTAAGAGCAGTGAACATTAGCAATAACTATTCGGGTTTTAGATGATTCTAGTAACGACTAGAATTTAGAAAAAAGAGTGGATTAGTAATAACCAAATATTCCACTACCAACATTCCTTGAGCTCGAGTAATGCTAGTAACTACCGGGCTTTCTGGGGATTGGCGACGACCAAAACAGAGATGCCAATAACAGTTGAACTTTAAACAATGCCAGTCAAAACATTACTGGACTTTCGAAGTGGATATGGTAACAACCAAATTGACAACACCAATAACAATTGTATTTAAACAAATTCCAGTCAAAACATTACTGAACTTTCGAAGCGGATATGGTAACTACCAAATCGGCAACACCAATAACAATTGGATTTTAAACAATGTCAGTCAAAATATTACTGGACTTTCAAGGCGGATATGATAACAACCAAATTGGCGATACTAATAACAATTGGATTTTAAACAATGCCAGTCAAAACATTACTGGACTTTCAAAGTGGATATGGTAATAACCAAATCGGTGATACCAATAACAATTGGATTTTAAACAATGCCAGTCAAAACATTACTGGACTTTCAAAGCAAATATGGTAACAACCAAATCGGAGATACTAATAACAATTGGATTTTAAACAAATGCCAGCCAAAATATTATTGGACTTTCAAGAGGGTTAACAACGACTAAACTTCATGGGGGGGGGGGGGAATGGTAACCACCAACTAGCAAAAATGATTTGAGGGAATAGTAACAACTAACCTGACAAGGTAATACTGGTAACTACCAGACAAAAAGCATAAATGATAATTGGATTCTCTGCTAGAAATTGCTAGTTACAACTAGATTTCACAGGGGAATCTGTTGACGACCAGAGAAGCAAAACAGTAGGGAGCTAGTAACAACTAGACGTCGGGGGAAATTGTTAACAACCAAAGGATAATAGACAGTAGTAACAACTGATCTAAAAAAGTTTAGTGACAACCAAAGATCTCAAAAAGGGAACTAGGCGACTCTGCGGGAGACAATGGCGGACAACAGACGTGAAAGATTTCCAATCACAACTGGACTTAGAAACAAAAGTAAACAGCTAAGCAAATGCGACCCGAAAATATACGTTAAATGTAAATGTTGTGATATGATGCAAATGCTCAAAGACGTGTAAGAACCGACTCTAACAAGAGACACAGAAACAACAAAATCTTCAGTAATCCCAATCTGGATTGTCTCTTCATTCTTAGGCATGGTACTTTTTGATTGCGTCTATGTCACTGGGCGAGTGATTTCTTCTCCGTCGATGGTTGCTAACATCAGAGCGCGTCCTGAGAAGAATTTCTTAACAAGATACAGACCGTCATAGTTTGGAGTTCACTTCCCTCGAGAATCAGTAAGGAATGATTGAATCTTCTTGAGCACAAGATTGCCCTCTTTGAACTCACGTGATTGAACCTTCTTGTCAAACGCCTTCTTCATCCTTTGCTGGTATAGTTGACTGTGACATAAGGCTGTAATACTTTTTTCTTCGATCAAGTTTAGTTGGTCGTATACGCTTTGACACCATTCAGCCTCTGAGAGCTTTGCTTCTGTCAAAACTCACATAAAAGGAATCTCAACTTCTACTGGAAGTACAACTTCCATACCGTAAACAAGTGAAAATAGAGTTTCCCCTGTCGACGTGCGTACCAAAGTACGATATCCATGTAAAGCAAACAAGAGCATTTCATGCCAGTCTTTATACGTGACAACCATCTTCTGAATAATCTTCTTTATATTCTTATTAGCAGCTTCAACAACCCCATTCATCATTGGTCGGTAAGGAGAAAAGTTATGATGTTCAATCTTGAATTCCTCCCATAGCTCTTTCACCGTTCTATTGTTCAGGTTGGACCCATTATTAGTAATGATTTTGCTTGGCACACCATATCTGCAGATGAGTTGATTCTTGATAAACTTAACAACCACATGGCTGGTCACATTTGCATAGGAAGTGGCTTCGACCCATTTGGTGAAATAGTCAATTGCTACCAAGATAAAATGATGTCTATTAGGTGCTATCGGTTCTATCATACCAATCATATCAATGCCCCACATGGAAAACAACCATGGAAACAAGATAACATTAAGTAGAGTTAGAGGTACGTGAATTTTGTCCGCATAGATCTGACATTTGTGACATCTCTTAGCAAATTTATAACAGTCTGATTCCATCGTGATCCAATAATATCCTGCTCTCAAGAGTATCTTAGCCATAGCATGCCCATTGACATGAATGCCAAAAGATCCTTCATGAATCTCTGTCATTAACATGTCTGTTTCTCGCTTATCAATACATCTTAGCAAGACTATGTCAAAATTCTGCTTGTACAATACATCATTACTCAGGATGAAACTACCAACCAAACTTCTCAATGTCTTCTTATCTTTGTTAGATGCCCCATACAAATATTCTTGCTTTCGAAGAAACAATTCAATGTCATGATATCAGGGCTTATCATCTTTGACATCTTCTATTGCAAATATGTAAGCAGGTCTATCTAGACGGCTCACATCAATCTTCAGACAATCATTCCATCGGTTCACCACAATCATAGAGGCCAACATCGTCAGAGCATTTGCCATTCTATTCTCGTCACGAGGAATGTGGTGGAATTCAACTCTATTGAAGAAAGGTAACAATCTTCTTGCATAGTCTTTATATGAACCAGGTTATCTTGACGAGTTTCCCACTCTCCCTTGATTTGGTGGACTACCACGGCAGAATCACCATATACATCCAAATTATTGATTATTAAGTCTATTGCTTCTTCAAGGCCCAATGAACTCCGTCTTCAAAGAAGCGTTGTTGTCGTACCTTAGGGTTTTCTTGTTGTCGTAAACGTCGCTATCTGAACTTCGTCTTCAAACAAATGTTATCGTAAACGTTGTCTTCAATGAACTTCGTCTTCAAACTAGTGTTCTTCTTCACACTGTAGTTGCTGTCTGAACATGAACTTTCATCCAACAATGTTATCATGCCCTAACACGTTTCATCTCCTTAAAATGAATGCTATGTGTAAGACAAAATCCACCTCATCCATTAAAATAATTATAGAATATCCATCTAAGCCATTTAAATCCAACACTGCAATGTCTAAAGTTTTTCCAACCCAAACTAACAGAAAGAACTACTATACATAACAAAGTATAAGTTAGTGGACCATAATGTAACGTTTTTTTCTTAAGGGAACAAAGCGAAACAAACACTAGAATTAAGAGACTAAAAGAGGTATTAAGCCTGAATTTAATGTTAAGATAAACTAAAATTGCAAAATTTAATAATAAAAATTAAAACCTAAAAATTAGTAAAATACAAGTACCAATTAAATTTATAAAATATCCAAGCAAAAAAAAAAAAGTTATCTGAATAAAATAAAATAAAGAAAATTTTCGGTCCCTTTCCTTGTCGCAGCGCCTAGGGTTTTTTGAATTGATACCCAGAAAACACTCCGTTACCAGTCGATCCAAAGTCATATTCATCAATCCCTTTCCTTCTCGCCGCGTTCACAATTCTCCAACTTCCTAGGTCAGGGTTTCACTTCTTCCGCAATGGCGATTTCGCAGGATCTCTATCCATCCGAAGACGATTTGGTTTACGAAGAAGAGTTGCTTCGTAACCCTTTCAGTCTCAAGCTATGGTGGAGATACCTAATAGCCCGTTCAGATTCGCCTTTCAAAAAGCGCGTGGTTATTTACGAAAGAGCACTCAAGGCTCTTCCTGGTAGCTACAAGCTGTGGCACGCTTACCTCCGTGAACGTCTCGAAATCGTTCGCAGTCTACCTGTCACTCACCCGCAGTTCAAGAGCCTCAACAACACCTTTGAACGTGCGCTAGTAACTATGCATAAAATGCCTCGTATATGGATAATGTTTCTTCAGACACTTACTCACCAGAAACTTATCACTCTTACAAGAAGAAACTTTGATAGAGCACTCTGTGCACTTCCTGTTACTCAGCATGATCGAATCTGGGAACATTATCTGTTCTTTGTTAGTCAAAAGGGTATCCCAATTGAAACATCTCTTAGGGTTTATCGCAGGTACTTGCAATATGACCCTAATCATATTGAGGATTTTATTGAGTTTTTGATTAATTCTAGTCTCTGGCAAGAGGCTGCGGAGCGGTTGGCTTCAGTGTTGAATGATGATAGGTTTTATTCTATTAAGGGTAAAACAAAGCATAGGCTTTGGTTAGAGTTATGTGATTTGTTGACCAGGCATGCGAACGAAGTGTCTGGGTTGAATGTGGATGCGATTATTAGGGGTGGTATTAGGAAATTCTCGGATGAGGTTGGTCGATTGTGGACCTCACTTGCCGAGTATTACATTAGGAGGGGTTTGCATGAGAAGGCTAGGGATGTGTTTGAGGAGGGTATGTCCACTGTCATTACTGTAAGGGATTTTAGTGTCATATTTGATTCCTACTCGCAATTTGAAGAGAGTATGCTTGCTTATAAGATGGAAGAGATGGATATTGATGAAGAAGATGAAGAAAATGAAGATGGGGCGAATGAGAAGGAAGAGGAGGAGGAGGATGAAGATGTTCGTTTCAAATATGAAGACTTTGAGAAGAAGATTTTTAGTGGGTTTTGGTTGAATGACAAAAATGACATTGACTTGAGATTGGCCCGGTTTGACTACCTCATGGATAGGAGGCCTGAATTGGCTAATAGTGTACTTTTGCGTCAAAACCCTCATAATGTAGAACAATGGCACCGGAGGGTGAAGCTTTTTGAGGGTAACCCCACTAAGCAAATTCTCACTTACACGGAGGCTGTTAGGACGGTTGATCCCATGAAGGCGGTGGGAAAACCTCATACGTTATGGGTTGCCTTCGCGAAGCTTTACGAACAGCACAACGATCTTGCCAATGCTCGGGTTATTTTTGACAAGGCAGTGCAGGTAAACTACAAAACTGTGGATAATTTGGCTAGTATCTGGTGTGAGTGGGCTGAGTTAGAGTTGAAACATAAGAATTTCAAAGGAGCACTTGAGCTTATGAGGCGGGCGACTGCAGAGCCATCAGTTGAGGTGAAACGAAAAGGTATTCATAGTTCTACTTGTTCCAATTTAATTTTTCACAATGTACTCTACGTTTTATTTATTTTGTTTTTGTGTTAACTAACTATTGCGTTTATATTCTGCTTTACTTCTAGTGGCGGCTGATGGGAATCAACCAGTTCAGATGAAGCTTCATAAATCTCTGAGATTGTGGACCTTTTATGTTGATTTGGAAGAGAGTCTAGGTGATTTGGAGTCTACTCGGGCAGTTTATGAACGGATTTTGGATTTACGAATAGCCACACCACAAGTAATAATCAATTATGCATATTTTCTGGAGGTATGGAGCAACTTTTATATTTTAGTACACTATCTCTTTTGGTTTTTACTTCTGCTGGTTTTGGCTCATTGACATATTATTAATTGAATTTGATTTATATAGGAGCACAAATACTTTGAAGATGCGTTTAAGGTTTATGAAAGAGGAGTGAAGATATTTAAGTACCCACATGTTAAGGATATTTGGGTTACATATCTGTCTAAATTTGTGAAGAGATATGGAAGGACTAAATTGGAGAGAGCAAGAGAGCTGTTTGAGAACGCGGTTGAAACGGTATGTACTTTTATTTTTCTTTTCCTTTTGCTGCTCATCTCTGAGTTCTTCAATTATTATTTCTTTTCAATACTTACAATTATGATCTCATAGGCGGGTTATGTTTGAAGTGTATCAAACATAGACAAATTTTATTCCTGTTATATTTTCTAAATGACCCACCATCAGTGTTATCAAATTGCGGCGCTATGGCGGATATACACGGCGGCGATTTTTGGGCTCGCCGCAATGGTAAATATCAGCCGACAGTGCGGGTTTTCCCGCCATAATCCGCTTTAGTGGCATAGCATAGCGGCCGGTATGGCGGGATTTTGGCTCTCCGCCATCCACCATCGACTACACTACCCACCATCAGTTTTCTGCTTATCCGTAATGGTAAATATCAGCCGACAGTGCGGGTTTTCCCGCCATAATCCGCTTTAGCGGCATCGCATAGCGGCCGGTATGGCGGGATTTTGGCTCTCCGCCATCCACCATCGACTACACTGCCCACCATCAGTTTTCTGCTTATCCGCAATTTTTCACTACAAAGGCTTAATTTGCACTACAAAGGCTTAATTTGAATCTGTAAAACGTTGGTTTAATAATAACTTGATGTAGATAAATGCTAATACGAAGGCTTCTTTATTCTGCTGTTCATAAAATTCAACAGAATATTTTAAGTTTATTAAGCAGCTGAGACATTTGAATAGAAACTATCATTGTTCCTTCAACTCTGTTCTGTATGTTTTGGATCTCACATCTGCTTTCATATGTTTGATTTTGAATTCTAGCTTCTTTTGAAAACCCTACAAGATTACATAGCCTTTTCTGTTTATAGATGTTGTTAGATGATTTTTTTCAAAATTGTATTGCTTGCTTTGTTTTTCTTTCATATTGATGTCATTATTATTTGGTAAAGTATGTTTATGTGTTGCGTAAGTTTGAATTGAGGCCATTTTTCTTTCCTGGATCTTATCTCTATTAACGGAATTAAGTGTTTGTATTGAGATAGAGGCTTGTCATTATGAAGCCAAGCTATACGAGGCAAATAAAGGCTGGCTATACATGAGAGATGCTTATTGCATCTGTGTCATCCTGGTCAGCAAGGTTCAATATGGGAACCTCACCACTAGAATGCCCTCTTACCGATCTGTAACATTATATATCTTCTTAGTTCTTAACCTGTATAAAAAGTTGAGTTAAGGGGCCGATTTTGAAAAAGTTAATCATAAAATGCTGATAATGTACCGCTCTAAAGTAATTAACAATTAAACTGCTACAATGAAAAACAAAAGTATTTTTTGATATGATTCATAAATGAAAGTATACATGAGAGATGCTTATTGCATCTGTGTCATCCTGGTCAGCAAGGTTCAATGTGGGAACCTCACCACTAGAATGCCCTCTTACCGATCTGTAACATTATATATCTTCTTAGTTCTTAACCTGTATAAAAAGTTGAGTTAAGGGACCGATTTTGAAAAAGTTAATCATAAAATGCCGACAATGTACCGCTCTAAAGTAATTAACAAGTAAACTGCTAGAATGAAAAACAAAAGTATTTTTTGATATGATTCATAAATGAAAAAAGAAAGTATTCTTTGTTTGGTCTCTGCTCAATGTAGGCAAGAGACTAAAAACAAATCAGTATACAATCAGTCTCCCTTTCCCCATTCTCTTGTCTTTAAACGGCTATATATTGATTCTTTTCGCAATTGCATCTAACCAAATCTCCTAACTTACTAGTATAGTAATATAGCTGTAACTTGTAAGAGAGTACTAGTTGGTGGTATTGTCCCCTATATTTCCATCTTATTCTTTCTAACACTATAACATACTCTTTTTAATCAAAGGTCTTGTAAAATACTCCCCTCAAAGCTTTCAACATGTCCTCAAGGCGGAACTCGGGAATATTTATATATCAGTTGTTTTTATTTTTTTTATTTTTCCTAAAGTGTACATAACTTTTCAAGTCGAAAAACATTTATGTGCATGTTATATATTATCAATTTTAGTCTTTGATATTCCCTTTTTGAGAATTTCATGCGCTGTTTTCTAGCCAGAACACTGTTATGACCCATTAATGTTCTGAGAGGTCTACTCTACAGTCATTTAAATGTCACGGGAGAAAGGTTTTCTGTGGTGCATTGGTATATGGATATCGTGTTGAAACAGTGGTGGTTCATATAATGCCTGAAACTGTGTTTCTTTTCTTATATTGTTCTTCATTACACTTGATATATTTTTGATCCCTTTGAAAGGGAAATTTCTAAGCAACATGTGATTGTGAAATCTCAGTTCACTCTTCCTTTTTTTCCCTTGTAACATGTCAATCTTTTTGAATGAGTTTATCTGTACTATTTTTCAAACAATCACCTTTTTCTCAAAAGGTTTTCTTTCGTAGAAGCGCTAAGCAATATGTTTGATGTGCTAGCCAAGAAAAAGAAAGCAGATTGCTGTCTGATGGTTTTTACTTATTTATTTATTCAAAGCTTGCCACTTGCATATTAAACATATGTTCTGTGCAAAGGTTCTTCTGAAGTTTGCAATTAGCTTCAGAAGCTTGCATACAGTTCTGTTCTTTTTGAAAGTTTCCATAGATTTTAGTTCAATTTGGCATATATATAAAGCTGTTTAGTTCTTTAATTTTATAAATGGTTCATGTCTTTGATTTGGAAATAGAAGAACCAGTGAACTGAACCAAAAGACTGTTCAGTTCAGTTTGATTTTTCTTTCAAAACCTAACCACGAACCCCACTTATATCCAATATGGAATAACCGGTCTATGTCAGTGGCTATAGTAGTGGGAAGCCCATACAACTGCAACTCTTCACTGATGTTTTAACATGGAACTTTATTCGCTGTGAAGGGGTTAGCAAAAGCTTAAGAAATGCACATAATCTGAATCACCGTAATCTCTCTACAATCATCAATATAGTGTGCTCTTTCTCATAGTAATCCAAGACTGTTGTATAAAATGTATCAATATTCTTAGCACAAGTATGATGCATGTTAGAGGAATTAAAGTCAGAATTAATAGCACTTCACATTGGTCAACCATAGCTCTGTACTGTGAAGTAATAAGTGCTTCCCCTATTTTAGTTTTCAATAAAAGTATTGTAGTATGACTATATTTTGCCTAATTTAATCAAGTGAATGTACTATGTATTGAAAGTGTCTGGTTTGTCAAAAATCATAACAAGTATTTTCCTTAGTTCATTGTGGTATATGATGATATCCAGCTGTCTGATAACGTGTCTTGTAACAATTGAGTTTTAATGCTGATATTATATTACAGTATATGCTAACCCGTTTCGTTTTTTCTGTCATGCTTGACAAAACAGGCCCCGGCTGATCAAGTGAAGCCTCTCTATCTGCAGTATGCTAAGCTGGAGGAGGATTATGGACTAGCAAAGCGAGCTATGAAGGTTTATGATCAAGCCACTAAAGCTGTTCCCAACAATGAGAAGTTGAGCATGTATGAAATATACATATCCCGTGCAGCTGAGATATTCGGCGTACCCAAAACACGAGAGATTTATGAGCAAGCAATTGAATCTGGTCTTCCAGATAAGGATGTCAAAGCTATGTGTTTGAAGTATGCCGAGCTGGAAAGAAGTTTGGGAGAAATTGAGCGTGCCCGTGGTATATATGTTTTTGCTTCAAAGTTTGCTGATCCACGGTCTGATCCAGACTTCTGGAATAAATGGCATGAATTTGAGGTTCAGCATGGAAATGAGGATACATTTAGAGAAATGCTTCGAATTAAACGGAGTGTGTCTGCAAGCTACAGCCAGGTTAGTTTAGTTTTTCAATTTTCACTTTCCTGAGATTTATCCTTGATGTTGCATTTATTCTAATCTTAGTTCTGTTGTTTTTACAGACACATTTTATACTGCCCGAGTATCTGATGCAGAAGGATCAAACTGTGAATCTTGATGAAGCCAAAGACAAACTTAAAGAGGCTGGGATCCCTGAGGATGAAATGGCTGCTTTAGAAAGGCAATTAGCCCCAGCCGCGGACAAAGCAGCGACCAAAGAGAGAAAAGTTGGGTTTGTAAGTGCTGGAGTGGAGTCACAGTCGGACGGAGGGATAAAGTCCAATGCAAACCACGAGGAAATTGAATTACCTGAAGAAAATGACTCTGATGATGATGATGATGATAAGATTGAAATTGCTCAAAAAGATGTCCCTTCTGCTGTTTTTGGCGGTTTGATTAGAAAGAGAGACGAGATTGAAAATGATAGAGAAGTAGATGGTAATGCAAAAGAAAAGGATAATGAAACCAGGCTTGGTGCTCTTGAGAGAATTAAGAAGCTGAAACGGAACTAAATGTTGGGTTAAGAGTATTTCCAGTTAACAGTTTTGATAGCATAAAATTAAATTGTTGATTTGTATTGTGTAACGTCATTCAAACCATAGTGGTTTAACTGAATATCAAATTGTATATATTCCAGGAAATTGTAGTTCTTTAAAGTTGCGACTGTCTGCACCTTTCTATCATATCTATATTCAGCTTAGTGCTACAAAGTTGTAGCAAAATGTTTGTGTATTAAGTTATATAGCAAGACGATTTTTTTTTTTTAATTTGTTGTTGATGTTTGCAAACAAGTAAAATATTTGAATTTTGCAATCAACTAAGTGATGGGTAGTGTTCATCACCCCTGTGTATTGATCACTAACCCCCCTATGGAAATTCAAATGTCTTTTGCATGTTCGGATTTTGAAAATTGGACGAATTAATTACACAACAATTCTCTTCAGCAGAAAGGCACTCCATCCCATCATTCATGTTAAAGATGAGTTTCGATGTGTGTTAAGTATAGGAGTGATGTTGAATTTTAAAATTGAGGCACCAAAATTTAACTGGAGATTTTATTGAGAATTTCTTATCCCATTCATTTGGTTTTTAGGCTTTCGGAGATGTATTTTCGGACGCATTTTTTTTTATTTAGCATTGGTTTTTTCTGGAGCCACATTTACGGAATATTTCTGTTTATATAACTCTGGAACAAATTAGAATATATTCGGGACAGAGTCCTTTCTCCCTCATTCTTTATTTTTCAACTTCTCACTCTCAAACTTTTTAAACTCTCTCAAACCTCAAATTTTTTTTTACCAAACTTAATTGTTTTCAATCAAGTTCGACAAGGAGCATTCATCTCAACGATCAAGACACTCCAACTCATTCAAAGCTCGACATAATTGGTAAGTTTTTGAGTTTCCGATGTATTTTCGAGTATTTCACGTAAACGAGTAAGAATATAGTTTTAGGAGTAGAAATCGTTAGATAGTTTTAGGAACATAGTTTAGAGACAATGTATGTATTGTTTGTTGGTTGAAACTGACGACCAGGGGTTGAAAAAATCGATTTTCTTGGGTGGGGGACGCCATTGACGTTGCTGTAGGAGTTGCAGAAAGTTTCAGAGCTACATCTATGAAACAAATTAACGTTAGGGCAATTCCGGGGATGCAGCTCCAGAACAAGTATAACTATCTGAATTCTGGGTTTTTCCGCAAGTATACATTCGAAAGTAAAAAAAATGTTTATTTTATTTTTCTTTTTTGTTTTTTAATTTATCTATATCTAATTTTTTTATTGGTTATACCTTGCAGACGTTATTGGTTATACCCTGTATCTAGATTACAACTTGGACGGGTTTTACAACATGCATCTGTGAGACGCGAGCGGAGCCAGACCACCGTTACCGAGGCCGATACAGTTGAGGCACATATTTCTTCATCATATGGCCAAGACATTCCCTCGACCTCGTATCCCACCCCATCATCCACTTCTTCATCCCGGAGGCGTCGAGATTCAGCTGAGGGTTCATCACAGGCCCCGTCCTCCCGCAAGCCTCGTCGGAATACTCCTGGTTCTCTTTCTGATGTTGATCCGGTGCCACCTTCAGAGGGTGATAACCCACCACCGGAGGATGCTGGTGACGACGACGATGATGAGCTTGAGGGTTTTCCAGGGGGTCCCTCAGATATGTCCCTGCTGACACGATACACCGACCATACTTCCAGACATGTCTAGGATGGAGAGGTAACATTACTCATATTGTATCTTTTTTTTCATTGGAAATTTATAATTTGTACCATTGTTTCTTATTAACATTTTTTCTTATTTATGAAAATTTTCAGACTTGTCCTCCGCAGAAGTTCTATAACCACGGGCGGAAGATATTATCTTTGGAGCAGCCACATGAGGCTTGGTTCCAGGATGTCCTTGCCGCCTCTGATTTGAAGGACCTTTGTGAGATCGGTTACATCGTGATCCACAACAAGATGCTGATGGGCTTTGCAGAGAGATGGCACCCTGAGACGTCCTCCTTCCATCTACCGCACAACGAGCTCACGATCACACTAGACGACATCTCCTGTCTACTACATATACTGATCAGGGGTACCCTCCTCTGTCACGGTAGGATGACGAAGGAGGATGCGAGAGAGACGTTGGTCGAGGAGCTTGTGGCTGATCCACTGGATGCGCTGTAGGAGGTGGATAAGTCAAGAGAAGCTCATGTCAGATTCTCTTTTCTCACTCGTAGATTTGGTGAGGCGCTCATTATTGCACGTCAGGCAGATGGTGATCCAACTGAGGTTGAGATACACAGACAACATGTGCTGAGATGTTATTTTCTATTTTTAGTCGTCACTCAGCTGTTTGTGGACACTTCCTCCACATATACAGATGTCGCTTACCTGAGGTACTTTTTTGATTCCAGATAGATCCATGAGTACAACTGGGCGGCGGCTACCCTGGCTTACACATATTCGAGGCTGAGAGAGGGATGCTTGTGGAAGACCAGGACTGTGCCAGGGAGTGTGGCACTACTTGTGGTAATGATCTTATATCCTTCAACTTTTTTTCATTTCTTTTCATTCTATATTCGAGATAATGCTTGATCCTGATATTTTTTATTGTCATTTTAGGCTTGGATATTCCAGCACTTTCCCCTGATCTTCGGGTGGGGGAGTGTACCTGATTACACAGAGAAAATGCCGCGTGCCTTTCTTCTGCTTAGGGGGAACCAGGCGGTCGACCCTTACAGAGTCTATCTCGATCGCCTAGCTGCTAAGGACATTCGGTACGACGTCTATGTTGATCACTGTGTGACGCGCTCGTTTGACGACATCTCCCTATTCTCAGGATGGTTGGCATACAGTTCGACTATTAGTGTTCCATATTTGTCTAAGCGCGTCATGCGGCAGTTCAGCTACATTCAGATCATTCCCGGACACCCAACTGTCTCCCTTCCTCTCGGCTTGACCCGTGTGCAGATAAACAAGATCTATGCCGACTACTAGAAACACATGGTACCTGACGAGGCTCGGACGACCAGAGTGTCGATAAACTAGAGCTGCATTGATGGCTACATCATATGGTCCTTCACCGTATCACACTCCTACATGGTGCCCACTGCCGAGGGATCACCATCCAGACTAGCTCATCATAAGATCTTAGAGGAGCAACAATCTCAGTTGGACCACACTCAGGATGTCCTGCCTCGCTGTCGTGAGATAGTGGAGATGGGGCGGGCAAACATTGCCGCCAGTTTCTTTTCTGAGGGGTCTAACCACAGGCGTGTATTGGATGACATCATTGCGATGGTAGTAGGGGAACTTATGTACCGCAGGCATCGCGCCATGGCAGGTGGGATCGATGGCCGAGGACGCAGACCGGACGGTCGAGGAGGCAGGAGAGGCAGACGAGGCGGTTAGGCACACACAATAGTGATTGTGATGTTTTTTGATGGACTATATTTTTGACGACATTGATGTACCATATTACTTCTTATATATATATATATATATATATATATATATATATATATATATATATATATATATATATATATATATATATATATATATATATATATATATATATATATATATATATATATATATATATATATCATATTATTTTATTTACAGATATATGTCATTTTATATTCATCCGCAACAGTTAATTTTCATCTGCGACCAACAAAACTTGATTTAAAAAAAAATCTGTTCTGATAAGATTTAAGAGTTGCATCTCCGGAAGCTTCCAGCGTAAAGAAAAAAAAGGATGCGTCCGGATGTGTATCTCCGAAAGCAGGGGGCATAAAAGGAATTTCGCTAGGTGCCTAAGAGTATCAAAGGGTGGATTAAGAAACTCTCATTTTATTTTAGAACAATGAGGTAGATATGGATTTCAAAATTCGGGCACATTTTTGGACATGATTATGAATCTCTTGATGATATTTATGAATAAACTTTCATAAACTCATTCAGAAACTGTTCTGGTCTGGGCCCAACCTGGCGGTCCAGCCCAATAACGCACATGTCCCATTAAGTGGACTAGCCCGACCGGGCACACGCACCACCGTGGGACGGACAGGGCACGCACCCCGCCGAAATGGACGACACGTCCTGCAGCGTCTCAACGCCCCCTTTGTCGGTCGAACAGAGCACCCCCGGTCCGTCGAGCAAGACCCTCGGTTCTTCCACGTCCACGCGTACTCCCCTCCGCGGGGAGAACAACGTGCTCTCAGGGAATCCCTCGAGCTCCCCTCTGCAGGGAGAACAACGTGCTCTCAGGGAGTCCCTCGAGCTCCTCTCCGCGGGGAGAACAACGTGCCCGGCACACGTTCTCCACGTGCTCCCCTCCGCGGGGACACGTCATCAACCAACTGCCCACCTCCGAAAGAGCAGGTCAAACCCACTTTCCGGAGATCAAGGAGCAGTTGGACTAGGGCGAAGACCACGTTCTGGTCTTCACTACGCCACGTAAGCCCTAGCAGTCATTAGAGTTGGGCCTGGTCATCCATCCCACCTCAAATGACCGTTGGCCCAGCGCTGGGGTCTCTCTATAAATACCCTCTTCCTCAAGAGGGTCAGGTAATTCACTTCTTACCCCATTTCTGTACTTTGCTCTCACTCTGCCCAATTCCTTACTTTGGCATCAGAGTGTCTTGCAGGTACACCCCCCTTCTCCTCCTCATCACCGGAGAACAGGTAGCAGTCCAACAGCATGTGGCCAGCCCGTGATCCCCTTCTGATCAGGTCAGATCAGTGGCGCCGTCTGTGGGAACAGAAACTTCCCCGTTATTCCGATCAGAAAACCAAAGTTTCACCAACACTCCACGATCATGGCTAGCCCACACCGCGACGACACTCCGCACGACCTCGTGCTCAACGTTGCCACCAACGGAAACAAGCAGATGGAAATGACGCGTCCGGCGGAAACCGACGAGAGAGACAGCCAAACTGCCTCACCGTCATCCGCGGAGCGGCCCCTTCAGGCCGACCACCGGCCCCCGGGCCCGGCAACATTCCAA